CCCGAATCACATTTCCCGACACCGGCTCTTCGTTCACCCTTGCTCTCCTTGCAGACCTTGCATCTTTCTCCTCAGTCTACAAAATCGTTTCAGGAAAAATAATTATTGTACTTAATGTAGCATATGGAATGTGGTTACAATTGAAGAAAACCGTTTTAAGGTCTATTTTATCTATTTTTTAATCTACCACAATGACTGAAACTAAGGAAGTGAATTAAAAGGAACCACTCGTGCAGGAAGGCTAACATCAAATGCACAACAATCTTCATTCAAGAAAAACTTACATCGTTATCCTCTAATTTTTGCTCCTCTCCTACCTTCTCTTTCTCCTTCTCCTCTCCTTCCCTTCTCTCGTTCGATTCATTTTGTTGTGCTTTCTGTTTGAAAATGCAGAGTCATTAATATCAGTGACATTTAATTTCTTCGTTGTCTGTTTTTTGAGCTACCTGAGGCAACTTGCCAGAACAGAACAAAAAAAAATTAACAACTTATAAGTTCTTCAAAGACAATAGCTTCATGCTGGCCTTCAGATTAGATAAAGGAAATTACAGTTCTTCATGTGGTTTTTACTAAAGTGCCTATTGAATATTATTTGTCAATTTAGGTAAAAGTTTTACCAATGCCTGCAGACACAGGACATCCAAGCTACATCGTAATAACACGATGTAATTCTTTTGTAAATGGGGCGAGTGGACAACTATTCAATAATTCACAGACATTTTCTGCAAAATGGTTTCACGGAAAACGTATTAAACTTAGAGTAGCACAATAATTATAGAATGGTGTTAGAACGGAACAAACCGCTGTAAGGTCTATTTTATGTTATAAAAAGCTACCAAAATGATTAAAATTAAGAGGAGGGAAAGGAAGCACTCGTGCTAACAGGGAGGCTAACATCAAATGCCCAGCAAACAGTTTGTACAAAGTTGCATTAAACGGAAAAATTTATGGTCTTAAAACCGAAACACATCACCAACTACTTAACAAGCGCTTTTCCGAATTTTCCCGTGAAATCATTCACTTGTCAATCTTGTCACCGTCATTTGCATCCTATTGACTGCCCCTTTCTTTCTCTTTTTTTAAATTTAATTAATAACTACAACACAACGTACAATACTTACTGTAATTACAATACTAACATTTCTTACATTACTTACTAGCAAGTCATCTTCTTGCTCAGCCCTGTCTCTCCTGAAAGTTTCGAGTTTCTCCCTGCAAAATGGTAGTCAGAGATCATAGATATATATCATTTACTTTTTAGATTTAATTAACAGTTTTAGGCATTATATCATATTATAGGATTATTATGTCGTTATATCTCCAGAATTGTCTGTAAAATTAAATCTGTATACACGTACATTATGTCAAGGTTTTCTGAGGCGACTTTTCTACCTTCAGATTTATCATTAATTTGAAAAATAATGAGCAAACCTACCTTTGTATAGACAGCACTTTAAGCATATCTGTTGCTTTCTCTAATGCCGTCGCCAGCCTGTCTTCAATATTTGTTGCAGTGATACTGCTATCTACGGTAACATATACACATCTTTGTTGGTTTATAATAATTATGAAAAACTCTTTTTGTCTATGTTACACTGGCGGAAAATTGGTTTCAGTTTAAATCCCTCAGAAACTGGTCGAGATTCGGAGAGGGAGTACCTTTACTTTGCAGAAATTAAGTATGGAAAGTATGTATTCCATGCAATTTCTATTCAATTTCACCCTGCTAACCACCAGTACCCAGGCAATTACTCTTATTAAGTATTACAGAAATACTGTATTTCGACCCGGCATGAACATCGCAATTTAACTGACAGATTAAAACAACCCAACAAAAGCTAAGTAAACCAAAATTTGGAAAGAACAATGGTAGAAACGCTTTACGAGCATCCTGGTATATTATAATGTCATACTTTTAGAGAGTAAGGAGACGAGACGATATCTACACGCTGCATTCAGAGCTCTCAAACAATCCATTACCTTCAATACCATCTAGCAATGTTGGTTTCCACATTGAGGAACTGGAAGGAACGATGACCAGTACGGCATCGCTGGTGTAGCGTACACCGAACATGTTGCAAACTGTGAAGGATAGAAATAACAGTAATTGACGATAGTTCTGTTAACCTTTGGTTAATTATTTTTCTCCTTTGATGTTACACAGTGACATGTAAGAAAACACAGCAGTTGTCGATGAACTATAACTTCTAAACAAGTATTCAATAAATTTATTCAAAATTCTTAAAGCATTGTGGAACGAAACACTCCACACTCTTTTATTTGTTAATTGATGATAACTGATGAATTTACAACTTACCTCGCCTTCCATCTGTGGAGGATGTCTCTCCAGGCCAGTAGAACAAACCCTTTCCATGGTATTGCGCCGATAGCCATCTTAGAGCCCTTCAAGTAACCAATTCAATGTACTGAATTATCAGTGGTGACTACTGGGTATAATATTATAACATTGTCCTTTCATGATGACAATTTTAACATTGAGATGCATCAAAGTTTTTGACATAAAGTCCGGCTAAATCGATGGTGCCGCCCGGGACATCTACAGTAGTGAACCCGGGTGTCCAGTCTTTAGTTCCATCTTTACTACAACAGCCTTCTCAACCGACTCAATAAAGGCATGTTAGCATTGATACACTGCATGCACATGTATACCTCACAATCCCCTCCCTTACTCCAGCGTTCTCCTTTCTGGGGTTGAGTAGGACTATGCAGATAGCCATCGTAAGCGTCCGCGCCTGCCAGCAAAGCTGAAAGGCAAATATAAAATGCTTTTAAGTCGTGCTTTTGAAAACTTTTTTTAACTGATAAGGTTATTATTAACAGCTGCCGGTCAACTGGACCAGAGTGCACTTCACGCGTTTGCCATTGCTTTTGTTCCTTGCTTTGTTGGTTGTGATTGGTTATTTTGTATGTGTGGGTGTTTGTGGTATAAAATCGTGAAAAGCTTTATTAGCTTTGCAGTGGATCAGAGATCTAAACCTGAAGAAAATAACATTGAGCTCCTATCTTTGTACTCTTTTCACGTTTATCGCGATTCCGCTTCCTTTCCTGCAACTATCAGAGGTGCTTTATATTATGCCGAAGTTCCCCAAAATTTCGGTTGGAAGTCATATGAAAGGTCCGTTTCGGTTCCTTAAGATCGCAGAATTCGTGACCCCTTTGGAGGTGGCCCACTTTGACCATTCGGACCGGCCCGACCGAAATTCCCCTCTCCAGTTTGGCAAACCAGTTCGTTGCCCCACTTTGCTTCACTTATGCATGCAGGGAATTATGAAAAGGAATAAAAATGGTCAGAGCCATTCCTCCTACTTGGCCAGGTTTGATCGGAAAATGTTTTGTTCCATATTGCTCGCGATAATGAAAGTCCCCCCCAGAAGTCTTTGCGAGCTCTTTATTACAACTACCAGCAATCTGTGCGTGTGCATACTTGCTTTCACGCATTTGGATAAAGTCCTAATAATTGTACAAATTACATGTACGCTCACATTCCTGGGTGCAAATTACGCTCACATTCTTGGGTGCAAAAGATGACTGAGTAATTTGTCATCAGTGATATTAGACAAGCGACTGCTGGCAAGCCCTTGTTACCTACCTCGTCGAAAGAGTGAACAAGGAAACTTGGCAGGGAAGTGTTCTCTCCTCTGCAGGAGGCCAACAAACGTTCTTCGCAGCGCACCACCTCATTCGTACGAGAAGGTAAGTTGGACTCCTCTTCCGAAATAAAGAAAGAAAGCAAAGCAAATTGCATTCAGAATTCTTTTCTTTAAGGACTTTCCAGTTTATTTACTTTTCACAAATGTAGGAAGCTTCCTACTGTACCTAAGCTTAATGTTTGTGTTAATCTGTGCATTCATTAATTTAAGCTTACCTCCCAAGCCATGAGGTGACATGTCTCCAGCCACGGTTCCAACTGTTTTACAAAATTATAATTAATTAGAGTAGAACGCAACATAGGTTTAACGCTGGTCTGACCAGAACCTTGCAACTGAAACAAGTATCTATTATATCTTGTGGTTTCCTTGTGTAAATCATAGTAAGCTTGTGTAAGTTGGATCGCGACCTGTCAATATGTGTATGTGGACCGTCTACAAAAGTCCACCCTTTTCTACAACATTTTGAAGACTGTACAAGAACTTGATAAACATGTACATTGTAATAATTATTTCTACATTTTGCTTCTGTATATCTGGACCAAAATATAAAAATAATAGCTATTAGGTATGNATTCCTTTAATCAATTGATTTTGATACAGCTAAATCAAACCTTGAATACAGGAAATAAATTCAATATCAAATGATTGTATTTGGTAACCTAACACCATTGTTGCCCTTTACCGACTGATCGTCCACCAAAAGCGTCTCTGCATTCCATTCTCAGTAAAGGCACACGCGATAGGTATTTATTTATGTTGTCAAATAGCTTTTTGTACATGAATGTAAAAAGATTGCTCCTTAACAAAAAACTGATTAAATTGTGCAATGAACTGGAATAGCAATTGGCCAAAATTAATTCGCAAACAGTCCATCTTAGCGGTTCGTATTGAAAAATTCGGAGGGCTTAGGGAACCAATCAGAATTGAGCCATATAACAAATATGATTTGTTGATATAATAGAAACGCAAGATGTGTTCTTAGCCTTGAAAGTCATACCTAATAGCTATTATTTTTATATTTTGGTCCAGATATACAGAAGCAAAATGTAGAAATAATTATTACAATGTACATGTTTATCAAGTTCTTGTACAGTCTTCAAAATGTTGTAGAAAAGGGTGGACTTTTGTAGACGGTCCACATACACATATTGACAGGTCGCGATCCAACTTACACAAGCTTACTATGATTTACACAAGGAAACCACAAGATATAATAGATACTTGTTTCAGTTGCAAGGTTCTGGTCAGACCAGCGTTAAACCTATGTTGCGTTCTACTCTAATTAATTATAATTTTGTAAAACAGTTGGAACCGTGGCTGGAGACATGTCACCTCATGGCTTGGGAGGTAAGCTTAAATTAATGAATGCACAGATTAACACAAACATTAAGCTTAGGTACAGTAGGAAGCTTCCTACATTTGTGAAAAGTAAATAAACTGGAAAGTCCTTAAAGAAAAGAATTCTGAATGCAATTTGCTTTGCTTTCTTTCTTTATTTCGGAAGAGGAGTCCAACTTACCTTCTCGTACGAATGAGGTGGTGCGCTGCGAAGAACGTTTGTTGGCCTCCTGCAGAGGAGAGAACACTTCCCTGCCAAGTTTCCTTGTTCACTCTTTCGACGAGGTAGGTAACAAGGGCTTGCCAGCAGTCGCTTGTCTAATATCACTGATGACAAATTACTCAGTCATCTTTTGCACCCAAGAATGTGAGCGTAATTTGCACCCAGGAATGTGAGCGTACATGTAATTTGTACAATTATTAGGACTTTATCCAAATGCGTGAAAGCAAGTATGCACACGCACAGATTGCTGGTAGTTGTAATAAAGAGCTCGCAAAGACTTCTGGGGGGGACTTTCATTATCGCGAGCAATATGGAACAAAACATTTTCCGATCAAACCTGGCCAAGTAGGAGGAATGGCTCTGACCATTTTTATTCCTTTTCATAATTCCCTGCATGCATAAGTGAAGCAAAGTGGGGCAACGAACTGGTTTGCCAAACTGGAGAGGGGAATTTCGGTCGGGCCGGTCCGAATGGTCAAAGTGGGCCACCTCCAAAGGGGTCACGAATTCTGCGATCTTAAGGAACCGAAACGGACCTTTCATATGACTTCCAACCGAAATTTTGGGGAACTTCGGCATAATATAAAGCACCTCTGATAGTTGCAGGAAAGGAAGCGGAATCGCGATAAACGTGAAAAGAGTACAAAGATAGGAGCTCAATGTTATTTTCTTCAGGTTTAGATCTCTGATCCACTGCAAAGCTAATAAAGCTTTTCACGATTTTATACCACAAACACCCACACATACAAAATAACCAATCACAACCAACAAAGCAAGGAACAAAAGCAATGGCAAACGCGTGAAGTGCACTCTGGTCCAGTTGACCGGCAGCTGTTAATAATAACCTTATCAGTTAAAAAAAGTTTTCAAAAGCACGACTTAAAAGCATTTTATATTTGCCTTTCAGCTTTGCTGGCAGGCGCGGACGCTTACGATGGCTATCTGCATAGTCCTACTCAACCCCAGAAAGGAGAACGCTGGAGTAAGGGAGGGGATTGTGAGGTATACATGTGCATGCAGTGTATCAATGCTAACATGCCTTTATTGAGTCGGTTGAGAAGGCTGTTGTAGTAAAGATGGAACTAAAGACTGGACACCCGGGTTCACTACTGTAGATGTCCCGGGCGGCACCATCGATTTAGCCGGACTTTATGTCAAAAACTTTGATGCATCTCAATGTTAAAATTGTCATCATGAAAGGACAATGTTATAATATTATACCCAGTAGTCACCACTGATAATTCAGTACATTGAATTGGTTACTTGAAGGGCTCTAAGATGGCTATCGGCGCAATACCATGGAAAGGGTTTGTTCTACTGGCCTGGAGAGACATCCTCCACAGATGGAAGGCGAGGTAAGTTGTAAATTCATCAGTTATCATCAATTAACAAATAAAAGAGTGTGGAGTGTTTCGTTCCACAATGCTTTAAGAATTTTGAATAAATTTATTGAATACTTGTTTAGAAGTTATAGTTCATCGACAACTGCTGTGTTTTCTTACATGTCACTGTGTAACATCAAAGGAGAAAAATAATTAACCAAAGGTTAACAGAACTATCGTCAATTACTGTTATTTCTATCCTTCACAGTTTGCAACATGTTCGGTGTACGCTACACCAGCGATGCCGTACTGGTCATCGTTCCTTCCAGTTCCTCAATGTGGAAACCAACATTGCTAGATGGTATTGAAGGTAATGGATTGTTTGAGAGCTCTGAATGCAGCGTGTAGATATCGTCTCGTCTCCTTACTCTCTAAAAGTATGACATTATAATATACCAGGATGCTCGTAAAGCGTTTCTACCATTGTTCTTTCCAAATTTTGGTTTACTTAGCTTTTGTTGGGTTGTTTTAATCTGTCAGTTAAATTGCGATGTTCATGCCGGGTCGAAATACAGTATTTCTGTAATACTTAATAAGAGTAATTGCCTGGGTACTGGTGGTTAGCAGGGTGAAATTGAATAGAAATTGCATGGAATACATACTTTCCATACTTAATTTCTGCAAAGTAAAGGTACTCCCTCTCCGAATCTCGACCAGTTTCTGAGGGATTTAAACTGAAACCAATTTTCCGCCAGTGTAACATAGACAAAAAGAGTTTTTCATAATTATTATAAACCAACAAAGATGTGTATATGTTACCGTAGATAGCAGTATCACTGCAACAAATATTGAAGACAGGCTGGCGACGGCATTAGAGAAAGCAACAGATATGCTTAAAGTGCTGTCTATACAAAGGTAGGTTTGCTCATTATTTTTCAAATTAATGATAAATCTGAAGGTAGAAAAGTCGCCTCAGAAAACCTTGACATAATGTACGTGTATACAGATTTAATTTTACAGACAATTCTGGAGATATAACGACATAATAATCCTATAATATGATATAATGCCTAAAACTGTTAATTAAATCTAAAAAGTAAATGATATATATCTATGATCTCTGACTACCATTTTGCAGGGAGAAACTCGAAACTTTCAGGAGAGACAGGGCTGAGCAAGAAGATGACTTGCTAGTAAGTAATGTAAGAAATGTTAGTATTGTAATTACAGTAAGTATTGTACGTTGTGTTGTAGTTATTAATTAAATTTAAAAAAAGAGAAAGAAAGGGGCAGTCAATAGGATGCAAATGACGGTGACAAGATTGACAAGTGAATGATTTCACGGGAAAATTCGGAAAAGCGCTTGTTAAGTAGTTGGTGATGTGTTTCGGTTTTAAGACCATAAATTTTTCCGTTTAATGCAACTTTGTACAAACTGTTTGCTGGGCATTTGATGTTAGCCTCCCTGTTAGCACGAGTGCTTCCTTTCCCTCCTCTTAATTTTAATCATTTTGGTAGCTTTTTATAACATAAAATAGACCTTACAGCGGTTTGTTCCGTTCTAACACCATTCTATAATTATTGTGCTACTCTAAGTTTAATACGTTTTCCGTGAAACCATTTTGCAGAAAATGTCTGTGAATTATTGAATAGTTGTCCACTCGCCCCATTTACAAAAGAATTACATCGTGTTATTACGATGTAGCTTGGATGTCCTGTGTCTGCAGGCATTGGTAAAACTTTTACCTAAATTGACAAATAATATTCAATAGGCACTTTAGTAAAAACCACATGAAGAACTGTAATTTCCTTTATCTAATCTGAAGGCCAGCATGAAGCTATTGTCTTTGAAGAACTTATAAGTTGTTAATTTTTTTTTGTTCTGTTCTGGCAAGTTGCCTCAGGTAGCTCAAAAAACAGACAACGAAGAAATTAAATGTCACTGATATTAATGACTCTGCATTTTCAAACAGAAAGCACAACAAAATGAATCGAACGAGAGAAGGGAAGGAGAGGAGAAGGAGAAAGAGAAGGTAGGAGAGGAGCAAAAATTAGAGGATAACGATGTAAGTTTTTCTTGAATGAAGATTGTTGTGCATTTGATGTTAGCCTTCCTGCACGAGTGGTTCCTTTTAATTCACTTCCTTAGTTTCAGTCATTGTGGTAGGTTAAAAAATAGATAAAATAGACCTTAAAACGGTTTTCTTCAATTGTAACAACATTCCATATGCTACATTAAGTACAATAATTATTTTTCCTGAAACGATTTTGTAGACTGAAGAGAAAGATGCAAGGTCTGCAAGGAGAGCAAGGGTGAACGAAGAGCCGGTGTCGGGAAATGTGATTCGGGTCAGGTCCCGAAACGGGACACAGGAAAGGAGATTTCAAACGGGAGCTCATTTCCAGGTAAGAAGCCGCAGTAACTAAAATTGCCTTAGTTGTATACATGTAGTTGTCGTAACATGGAAGTTTATGGCCC